TTTTCAAATAGATTACACAGGTCAACAAGAGAAATGGTGCAAACGATTTTAATACTGTTTTTAAGTATATTTGGGGCGCTGATTTCAAAAATGACATTGGTTTTTTTCTATGAGCTTTAGTTTTCAAGATACGATATATATGATATATTTTACGATATTAGGTGCGCAACTAAGTTCTCGCTGTTTTTTCGATGAAATGTAACTTATTATAAAAAATGCATCAATTGAGTTCGATACTTCTCCAGTGATGGTTTCACTCGGTTTCAACAGCTCATAACAAATAACACCGACCTGGTCCCACCATATGTAGAGCCATAACCTTCAAGTGAATATTCGGCCGAACCGAGATTTTCTCGTCTTTGGATTGCTGTAATGTATTTATTTTTTATCACCTGTCACGATGTGATGAAGAACCTCTTCTTTTCTCGCCGCTGGAGCAGTTGTTTACAGGCGAAAAAACGACGCTCGACGTCTCTTGGCTTCAACTCACAAGGAACCGAAGTTTCTTGCTTCTAAATCATCCCCGACGCATACTATAGCTTGGAAATGGTTTGATGGGTAACTCCTAATTCTAAAGCAAGATCTTCTTGAGTTTGGCACGAATCCTCTTCGAACAAGGCCTTCAATTTAGCGTTTTTGAAGGTTTTGGCCTTCCTTCACGAGGGTGGTCGTCAACATCAAAATCACCATTTTTGAAGCGACAAAACCCCTCATGGCATGTTGTTTCGCTCAGAGCAACATTTCCGTAGCTCTCGATGCACTTTGCTGCCGTTTTTTTTTTAATGGAAGACGAAAATCAACACTCCCCGCAAATGACGATTGTTTGGCATAAAATTGGACATATTCACTTAACCAGAAGTATATAATGCAAAAACGAAATCAATTAGGTGTCGCAGCAGTTTGTTTACTTACTCTAAGCTTGCTTCAAGACGTTTTGGATTTGTCAAAATCGACCAACCCTTACTGATAAAGCCATATACTGACAAACAGCGAGAACTTAGTTGCGCACCTAATATAAGGAACGAAAGTACAAAATAGTAATACAATTCAGAATGTTATTGTAATGAGATATGCCTACTTGTACATACAAACTTACAAGACCCATTCGGCCTTAGTTGGGACATTAGTTGACACTGTGAAAAGTTCTTTTCCGTGACGACCTCGAATGGACCTGGTTTCGGCAACTTCTTCGTATCTCAAAAACTAGAGCTGATACAAAAAAATGGTTTGCAGATTTGAAATCAGCGCAAAAAATACTATAAGAATCAGCTCTAACATTTGAGGCACCAAAAAAAAAACTTTTTTTTGTTGGCCTGTGTTATTATTAATATTATAACATTGTCTAATATTTATAAGAATTATATAAACTGAATTGCAAAGTTGAAATTATTTGTTCAAAGTATATTAGAACTTTAGTCAGAAAATCTGAATAATTTTCGATATTACAAAAAAAATTTTTTTGAAAAAAAAAAGTTGAAACAATTTTTTTTCCAAAATCAATTATTTTGTTAAGACAAGCAGAGAGTTCTTTGAATCATTTAAATCGGAGCTTAGTTCTCTCAAAATCTGACATTTTTTACATATTTAGCTCCGTATCTCCGAAACGGCTGGACCTGCCTTTGCCAAAAACTAATCAGCTCTTCTCCCTATCAATAGGAATCGAATGTTTTTTGAACCATTCAAATCGGTTGATCCGTGTGCCCGAAAACGTGACTGGAAATTTGTATCCATACATACATACACACACACACACATCCATTTTTTCTGAGGTATGCCAAAATGATCAGAAACCTTCAAAACATCGAGAAATGTAAAAATTTTCAATTTCGATTTTGGGCCCATTTCAATAACTTAAGTTAATAAATAGACATTTTCAAAAATTTTAATACCAAGAACGAGAACGAGAGCGTTGCAATGAAAACGGTATTTTATGAGCTCTCTTTACGGCAGAATTGACCCATTTGTTTGTTTTTGTGAACAATATTTTTTTTAGCGTTATCAAACATAACTTTTAGTACGTTTTCATAGCATTGGAAAGTGTTTAGTGACTAAATGCCTGAAAAATGAGACATTTATCCATTTGTTTAACCGATTGGGACATAATGCTTTTATGCATTATTTTCATCACATAATTGTAATTCAGAATTATATTTATTAAAATTATATCTATTTTTTTGATTCAGGTGTGTCGAACTTGTGATGTGAATGGCATAGATTGCGGCGTTGAACCCGGATCAAAACTCGGAAATGGAATACAAGATGCCGATTTCGTATTTTACGTTTCCGCAATGCAAACTGAACGATGCTACAAGGGTCTGACCGTAGCTTATGCAGCGCATTGTCAGCAAGAAGCGGCGCTTGATAGGTACGAAAAATTTTTATGCATGTTTTTTTTTTCAGGTTAGAACCAATATTAGGTATCTATTTTTTAATAATTCTCTTCATATTGGTATTGAAAATGCAACTGAAAATATTTTTACGAACATCTGATTAAATTAAGAATTAGCTTTTTAAGAATGAATTTTATTTGCTTGAGGTAAATTACTAGAAATGCGAAAAATCCGAAAATGCTTAGTGTTTTGTTTGTTTTTTTTTTATCTAACTTAGATTTATTATTTAAATTAAAACAATTAGTTATTTTAGCTATCGAGCAAAAATTATTGTTTTTTTTTATCAATATCAACCTTTAACGAACGAGCTCATTTTCTAAAACTAGGCCCAGTAGGTTGACGAGAGAATTTAGGAGCTCCATTTCCAGAACGATATAAGCAAAACATATCAAAATCGGTCCGACGTGAATGTGTTAGTTTGTCATTAGTTTTGAATAGAATGGAATTCTGCTAATATTCCTTGTTGACCAATATTCAAATTTATTTTCTAGAGACATTTGGCCAATATTGAAAATTAAGAATGAAAAGCTCAATTTTTTCTGATTACGTCATGATTACTCGTATTATAAAATATTTACAATATAGCGAATATGGCGACATTCATTTGCTAAGGGCTAAAAGTCTTCGTATTTTACTCAATATAACATTTTATACTATCAACAATTATTTCGAAAATTAATATTTTTTAATCGCCGAACTTGATTTGCAATAATGGATATGATTAAATGTTCCATCAATACATTCGGGGTAATTTCATAAGTAAATTCTAAAAATTTTTACGAGCTGGTACGATAGATCTGTTTAATGAACATATTGTGGCCAGGTACTATCAATTATAGTGTACACCGCCCCTACTCTTAATCTGGTTTCTTGGGGCCCAACTGGAACAGTTTTTTAAGGTTCAGCCATTAAGAGTTTTTCAGTCAAGTGGTGGATACGTTTCCCATGGGCGACCACCTTATGATACTTTAGTATTAGTTGTGAGTGTGTTGTGCTACAAGAAGACAGGTCCAGCTTAAGGCCAGATCACATATTATTAACTATAGCTATTATCCCCATATTTCCACAATAGCGTACTCGTCACAATATGTTGAAAACCTATTACGGCTCCCAAATTATAATTTTAGCACTTTCTTGATATATATTTAATAATGTTTATCACAATAATTAGTAATATATTTATTTGCATTGCAGGCCGATTGCTGGGCACGCCAACTTATGCCCGGAAAGTATCAGTACTAAACCCCAGGAATTGGCAACGCTTTTGTCTACAGTGAAACATGAAATTCTGCACGCATTGGGTTTCTCTGTGAGTTTATATGCGTTTTTTCGGGACGAATTTGGCCGACCACGTACTCCACGTAAAACTGATACTGGAAAACCATATCTGAATGAGAAGTAAATTTATATTTTAATTTATATGTTTAGTGAAAATATTGTTGTAAATTTAGTACTCTAGAATAAAATTTTACTTTCTTGATTTTTACATTCAGAGAGCTTGGATAACCATGAAGAATTATGAAAGTTTTTTCATAATTCAGATGGCACTTCAAAATGAAATCATAAATCATATATCCAATCTAATACAGCTCAACCATTAATCACAATACATGCGTTATTATTTATCTTGATAACTATTGTTAGATGTAACAGGATCTCATTTTAATTTAGATTTTCATTTATAGGTGTAACACAACAATGCGTAATCGGGTATAGATAGTTTTATAATAAAAATGCAAATAGAGATTTTGCGTTTCCAATGGAAAAGTTTGTGTACATGCGAAAACATTATATTAGCTATTTTTAGATATATTTGACACCAAAATTGGAAGTAGTTTGTGTATCGATTTCTAAAATTGTAATGCCATGCAATGAAACTCGACATGTACTCGTCCGGTTTAGTTTCCCGTGGCAATCGGCGGAGGCGTTACTTCATAATTACCCAGTAACTGTAAAAAAATTGTCCATGTTTCAACAAAAAATTTTGGTGGAGATTTGTTGCTTTCTAGAGCTCAGGAAAAGTTAATTTCATTATAAATACTAGTGGGGCGCATGGCATCGTGCCTTAAGGCAAATTGCTGAAACCTCCCGTATCAAAAATTATTATTTTTTTAAAAACGATTAAAATTTTTGAAAAAAAATTACTTAAAAAAAATTAGATTTTTGAAAAACTATAAATTTGATAAAAAATTACTTTTTGTTGAAAAAAAAAAATTATTGAAAAAATTTTCTTATTTTGACATATTTTGGAAATCCTGAACTTTTTTCAAAGCAATCGTACTGCTTTAACTGCGTAAAGACGAAATATCAAAGCGCGTAAGCGCCGCGTCGCCGTCTAACGGATAAACATTGGTACGGAACCCATAGGAATCTAAACAAAATTTATACTTATTGTTAAAATCTCTATAAAATATCTGATAATTTGATGTCCATATGTCTAATGATCATTTTTGACCGCCAAATGGCATTTTTTTCCTTTTTTCATTAGATCTCCGAAACCACTAGACCTGCCTTTATGAAAATCTGAGCAGTTCTTCAACTTATCAATACAAGTAAAATGTTTTCTGAATTATTAAAATCGGACGCTCCGTTTTCTTAAAAACTGAGTTACCATTTTTGGCACTTTTTGCCCAATATCTTTGGAACGGCTAGACCTGCCTTTGCCAAAAACTAATCAGCACGTCTCCTTATCAATACGAATCGAATGCTTTATGAATTGTTCAAATCGCTTCATCCGTGTTTCCGAAATCGTCGACGAAAATTTGTATCCGAACACATACACATACACGCACACACACACATGCATACATCCATTTTTTCTAAGGTATGCCAAAATGTTCAGAAGGTTTTGAAACGTAAAGATATACAAAAAATTTCATTTTCGATTTTTTTGCGATTACTATAACTTGCCCTACGGGAAGTTAATTAATCAATGCTTGGAATAATGCGCTTAGCACCGCGAATAATCAGCTTACAGAGGGACATTATTATAAAAAATATTATGATTTACACATATCGTTAAGCTCATATTATCATATCATATTCCTTTAGAGTAATACCTTTTACATCAAGATTTAAGATTTTACTGCAACAAGGTCTTTGCAAATTAAAAATATGAATGATAAAATTTATAGATACTATAAATCAATTTATAATAATCTATTTGGAAATATTTAAAACAATCATTATCAATCATCGATCAATCTCTATTGATTAGTTGTGTCTTTTTTTCCTTGAATGTTGTGCCAGCAATTTGCACAATTAGTTAATTGCTTTTTTTTCTCATAGGTTGCAGATTCACCAGTGGAGCAATGAAACAATAAGGCGAATTCGAAGGCAAGGTTGGTCTGTAAGAGGAGGTACGGTTACACGTTCAGTAGATGTGATGGTTACACCGCGCGTAGTGAAGGAAGCACGAGCACATTTCGATTGTCCACAACTTGAAGGGGCAGAACTTGAAGACCAAGGCGGTGAAGGCACTGCACTCACGCATTGGGAAAAACGTATACTCGAGGTGAATTGTCGAACCTAATAATAGTGATGTAAAGAGTCTTAGTGTAATTCTATCAACACTTTTGTTTCTCGCGACCGACAGTCAACTTCCGTATGGCCGGCGTCGGTACCTGAGGACCGACAGTCGTCTTACCCTATGGCTGGCGTCAGCCTCGAGGATCGACAAAAGAATTTTTCTCTAATATAGCATGTGTGATCTATAGTACAAATAAATTAGTTTTAATGTAATGCTATCAAATATAATTTTAATTAAATTTTTTGAAACAACGGAAAGGACGGAAAATTTGGTGCAGGGTTCAACGTGTCAACTTCTCGTAAGTTATAGTAATCGCAAAAAATCCTGTTTTCTGACTATTTTGGCATAGCTTAGATAAAGTAAATGTATGTGTGTGCGGATACTAAATTTTGTCGACAACTTCGGGAATGATTCGAAAAATATTTTGCTTGTGTTGATGGTGCATATAGGTGAAAGCTCCTGAATTAAAAAAAATCGTAAACAGACACGTAAGTTGTTTATAGGATACGCCCAATTTAATAAGTACTTATTAATTTACAGTATTTACAATAATAGGTTTGTAAATATTTGAAACAATTTTCGAATAAGTTAATTATTGAATCATTTTTATTGAATATTAATAATTTTTATTTCTCGAGTTCTAGAAATTTGCGTTAAAGCCTAATGCCATGCAATACTAGTTTTCATTTTATTCTGAAATTTAGAGCACATGGCAGGTACATTATTAAGTAGGTAGATTTAAGAACTTTTGAGAGAGTTTTAAATTTAATTTTTTGGAACTGTTTTTCATTAAACTATCAGGTTGCTAACTAAGTAAGTGTGGATTTTTTTTAGAAAATCAAAGACAATTTTTTAAATAACTTTATTCTGTAATGCATTTGCTATTTTGTTTAATGATTTTTTGACATCTTTCAAGAAGTATCATTATCTCACCTTCACAAAACTTCTGGTTATTAGCAAGAAACTGAATCAGGTACAATTTGACACAAATAATTCGAAACAAAATATAATCAGAAGGTGTAAGGTCAGAACTATGTGGCGCTGCCACTGTAGCGGATGTAGCATAACATTATTTATTTATTAGTATTTCACATCCGGATTACGTATTAAAACTAAAACTCAACTGAAACCACCATATAAGCTTGAAACCGCACTTACTTAGTTACCAACTGATGATTACAATAGCGCTTAAATTCTACATTTTGAGAATCAAGTTTTAAGCTCAAATATTCTTCTTCACCATAATAGTTTATTGACAAAGATTTCGAGGATCGATAGCTATGCTTGATAAATTATTATTACAACTATACTATATTCTTAATTATAGAATGAAGCAATGACGGGAACTCATACCCAAAGTCCTGTATTTTCGAGAATTACGTTGGCTTTGATGGAGGATAGCGGTTGGTATAGAGCCGATTACTCGTATGCAGAACCTCTGAGTTGGGGACGAGGACTCGGCTGCGACTTTGTAATGAAGAGCTGTAAAGATTGGATTAACACTAAATTAGCAAGGTAAGAAATACCTGTCTAGCATGATGTGTATTTATTAATATAATAATTGTGGATTGTATAGGTATTATGTATGCATATTAACACAATGTGACAATACTCTTAAACTAGTTGAAAGTGCATTTAGTCTTAAGGCAAATTGCAAGAACTTCCCGAAATGTGTAAATAATTACTTAATTAATCCTTTAGAATAAGCAATTTGATCTGTCCTTTACAATAATTTTTTATTCTATTAATTATTCAGAAATAAATATTAAATTAAAATAAAATAAATGAAAAAAATTTAAAAAAGGACTCTTCTCTTCGAGACATGTTATATGTGAGGAAAAATTTTAACGAGTGCATTGTATTTGTATGTAATTGTATAGATATGGAAACTCGAAGAGTTTTTCGTTTTGTCATTGGTTGAAAGAGTGAGATAGATAAACATTAGTGGCGCTTTGGCCGGCGGAAAAATTTCGAAGTAGAGACATTGAAAATAAAGCTTGTGGATTTAAGCTGTAATCATTAAGCAAAATATTTTTATTTAACTAATAATTACAAGAAAACGGCTCGGTTGATTTTCATCTAAAATTAATCAGCATCATTTCCAACTAATATCTTTCGAACAGTTTTTGATTTTTTAAAATCGATTCGGTAGAATGAGCTTAAATGTGAACGAAAAGTTCAACACTTTTTCCAAATTACAAAGAAACGGCTCAGCCGATCGTCGCACAAAACTGACAAACGAAAATCCTCGTCGAGATACATCAAATGGCTTTTAAATTTCTGAAATCGGTTCAGGCGTTCTCGAGCAAACGTCGATGAAAGGTCTAATTTTGACAAACGCCGAAAAAACGACACTAATTTTTGCAAATTTTGAAGAACTTTTAAAATTAAACGACTTGTCGTAGGGCCGTAATATTTTAGTATAATCTATAAGACTATGGTATCTACCGTCAAAAAAAAATCATAAAAATCGTCGAAACAAAATTTTTTAACACTTTATTACAAGAAAACGGCCCGGCCGATCTCTACCAAAAACTAATCAGCACGATTCCCAACCAATATCTTTCGAACGGTTTTATGAATTTTCAAAATCGATTCAGAATTGCGGGCTAAAACGTGGACGAAAAATTTTTCACTTTTCTGCTATTTACAAAGAAACGGCTTGGCCGATCGCCGCACAAAACTGAGCAACGCTAGTCCTCATCGAGATACATCGAATGGCTTTTAAATGTTTGAAATCGGTCCAGCCGTTTTTGAGAAAACGTCGATTTACGGCAAAAAATCTGTTCACACACACACACACATACTTTTTCCAAATTTGGTCTCATTCGATTCAGAATGGCTTGAAACGCCGAGAAAACATAAAATTAGCAAATCGAATTTTTTGATGAAAACATAAACTTTTCCTTCGGGAAGTTAAAACTAATATCAATAAATTTTCTGACTTTTTTCTTATTATGTATTTGATAAATAGTGTCGCATGTTTTACAAAAATTGTTGAATCTTATTTTACAAAACAGTTCCATCGTACAGTCTCCAAACCTTGTATCCAACACACCAGTTATTTTTTTTCTCTAATAGAACAGAACGCTTAACATAATGTTTCAATTATTCTTATTGTTCTTGTTGAAATTGGTGAGGATTTCTCTCATAATGTGAAAGAGCGCTAAACAAAAACTTATGCAAATGCTAAGCAGGTTGAAACTTCCAATCGATAGCTGTTGATAATGTAATTTTAAAAAATCGTAAATCTATTTTAATTATTATACAGAGTATGGGCGCATTGCCATACAGAATCAGCCCTAACTTGGTGTTTAAATAATTTATACGCCATTTTATAGGTCTATTTGATAAAAACCGATATACCAATTTTCAACTTTGCACCCTTTAAAATATACTAATTAGGAATGATTTGTTCTGGTGTTGTTATTCAGTTTTTTTGTAAGATTCCGTCAACCGTTTAATCGTTTTCCGATTCTGAAAAATAAAAAGTGTTTAATAATTTGCGACTTTGCAGGATTAATCTAACAATAACGTGGCATAAAATTCAATAGTAGTCTCGTAGAATAAATATTCTAATCTTGCATAAAAATAGAAAAAAATGAATATACTTAAGCGGCAAGAAACTGAATTATCACTTTATGCCGCATATTGTTTTTTAGTATTCTAAAAATATCTTGGTAAAAAAGATATGTTTTACTGTTCATTTTATGAACTGTTATCCTTGTCTGACTTTTTGTATGGCTTTCTTCATATAATTCCTAAATATCCACTGTTTATTATTATAAGTAATATCATCATTGGGACTTGCGAATTGGAAATTGCCAACATTTGAAAAGAATAATCTAGTTGTATAAAGCTATTGGAATACATGGAAAGAAATATTTTTCATCAAATTTGGTACGCAATGCAAATAGTTTCTTACTGTATGCAATTGCATTGATTACACCTTTCAAAGCATACATAATGATTGTGAACTAATTCATTCCAGTGCAGTGAATAAAATTTTAGTTTGTATTTATTGCATGTATTTGCTTAATTAATTTGTAAGCATGGAAAAATGATTTAATACAAAGCATTTTCATAAATAATTGCTATTGGGTCGCTCAAGTGAGATCTACAGGGTAGGAGCTCAAAGGTCCCATTTGACTTTCAGTAATTATACTGTCTGAAGTGAAATGAATCACATTACAATAAAAAGCACGTATCAAACAAACAAGTATCGCGCTATGTTAAGTAATTTCTCAATTACTGAGCATAGCTCAATTCAATTAATTACTAATTATAAAAGTTTTTAGCTATTTTTCTGAAACGAGTTACATATCCTTTTTTACCCCATAGGCTGAGTGAAAAGGAACAGGTAATATTTAAAACAAAATAGCTAAATACATATTTATCCCACACTTTAGAATAGTGTTGTTAAAAATTTCTATATTTTAATTGCTTTTGTGATAATGGTGCTGAACTTTTTCACCCGCGGATTTTTTAGCTCTGCTCTACTTTAAAAATAAACGTTACTCTAAAAATAATTACAACTATATTATATTATATTTAATAGTACAAAATTCAAATTGATAAAAATTCAAATTGATAAAAATCCAAATTTGACATTCAAATGTAATAATTGAAATTATTTATTGCGACGTTTCTGAACTCCTCAATATTAGCGCTTCCGATTAAATTTAATTTAATTGGGTTTAATTTAGTACACGACGAAACTCTATATTAAAGGGTATGGGCGCAATGCCATAGAGAATCGGCCCCACCCTGCTATTTGAATAATTTATACGCCATTTTAAAGGTCTTTTTAAAAAAAAACGATATACCAATTTTCAACTTTGTACCCCATTTTATGGCCGAGATGTCATTGAAAATATGCCAAAGTGGCTCCTTATTTCTAACTCACTTTTTGGCGTAACCATGAGAGATATCGAAAAAAAATTTTGTGGTTCTACTCATATTGGCTTAGACCATATTATGTAGAACAATCGATGCTAAATAATCTTTTATTATTAGCTGAAAAAGATAAAATATTTTTTTCAATTGATGTTTTCGGATAGTGCGTTCAGTTGGACCACCTTTTAATTAGCGTTATTCGAAAGGTTATTCTTTTTTCTTCAAGTACTGCAAATATTGTTCAAATCAATTATGTGGAACACATTGGAAAATTGAAAAAAAACGGAGCCAATACACCCGCGCGTAACGCTAATAGTACCCTGCAATTGCATGCAGTTCGTTTCGATGCGAAAAAGTGCGCGATGCGCCCGAAACGATTCTTAAAATAAACAATGAATGCGAAAATATTCGTTTCGGACGCATCGCGCACTGCTTCGCATCGGAACGAACTCCATCAATTGCAGGGTACTATTAGCGTTTTTTATTCATTTCTTACAACCAATCTGAACCTTGGGTTCAATGGGATTATTTGCTGACGGGTGCAGGCCTTTTAGAAATTTCCCCAGTGAGGAATTACCTTACATAAATATATTGATTGTTAATTTATTAAATCTTGCGGCCACTTTCTTTTTAATCTTCTCATAGGAACTTGTTTTAGCAGGTCTTCTATTAGAGTGTTTGGATGGTATTCGCTCCTTTGATGATATTTCGCACTTCTCTCCTTGATAATTTCCTGTATATATTTGATGTTTAGGTCTCGATGAATTATTTCTTTGGAGACATACCAGGGCGCGTTCACTATAGCTCGTAGTATTTTTGACTGTGATCTTTGAATTGTTTTTATATTCGACATGCTTGCACATGCCCATAGCTCGATACCGTATTTCCATATTGGAACAATTACGGCTTTATATATCAGGATCTTGTTCGCATATGACATCTTTAATCTTCTTCCAATTAACCAGTAAAGTTCACGAAATTTTTTGTCTATTTGCTTACGCTTTGTCCTGATGTGGGTACTCCATGTGAGTCCTCTATCGAGGTGAAGTCCTAAGTATTTTACAGAGTTGCTTTTTGGAATTTCTACATTGATGTTGATTTTTATATTTGGGCAATCTCCTTTTCTTTTAGTAAAGGTGATGTGGACTGACTTAGTTGAGTTAATAGTAATTTGGGTGTGCGACATAGTTTTTGTAAATTGTGTGTCAAAGTGCATACAAACGGAGGAAAATGAAAATGAAACGACAAAATCTCCGATCTAATAACTTTTCTGCACGATAATTAAAATTTTATAATAACTGTCGTTTTCTTTCAAATGACCTGTGCGACTGATTTCCGCTAGGCTATATGTAGTTAATATTACTAAAACTAAGCTGAACTCATACTGATAAGAATTGCGAACTGATATTTTCTTATCATTTAAGAAGCCGATCAATTCATCCATTTTGTGACAAATTGAAACGGGATCCTTTACAAACAGAATGCACTGATGATCGAACATCTGTTGCCTTGTGCAATTTAGTAGAACACGCCGAAGAACTTCCAAGAAAATATCAGGTAATAATAGATGCATCAAATAATTTGCCTCTACTCATTAACCAAATTTTTATTTATTATTATTATAACTGCCTATACTCAATAATTAATATCATTTAGCAATATTTTTGTATCCCGCTTTTGGTCAATGCATGTTTTTTTACCGAGTTTCAATTGAGATTTCCTTCAGCTTATAGGTATGCTTCAACTCTAAAAATCGAATTATTTCTATAAATGGTCGCCCGCTTCTTACACCTTTTTAATCTTGGGCCCGATTTTCTTAATTTAATTTTGTATATTGCGGAATTTAATAATATAAACAACTTTAATTTAATGATCGGATATTTCACCCCGCTTTCAATCAGTGAATGTTGTTCACTCAATTTCTTCAGTTCATAGTAAAGCATATATTTCAATTAAAAAACAATTTACTTTTGTCCAACTCTAACATTGTATTAAGTTCTGAGAAAAAAAATTTTTATTTCAATGTGTTAAACGGAATTTTAAAAAATATATGCAAACTATTTTATAATAGTCACTCGATAATCGATGAATTTTTGACTGTTTGTGAATTTTTTACTGAATTTCGATCAACATTAAATTAAATTATATATTTATTTTAAAAAATATTTTTTATAGAGTATAATTTTTTTTAATGTTTTTGCGTTTCAGAACATCCAATAATTTTTGACATATCATAGCAAATAAATATGCATGGATGTGATTTCAATTCCTTGATTTTAAAATTGAATCAAATAATTGATTTGTTTGTAAATGCAACAAATAATTTGGCATGAATCAATTGAATAATAGTTTTAAATCACTTTATTAGAAGATCGCTTATGTTCAATAAATGTTTTAGTTTTTTATGATGGAGTTTATAAAATTTGAATTTAATAAAAGTTGAATTTATAGTAGTGATTTTTCTTCCTCTAATTGAAAAATCTCAAGTGCCTTCGATTGATCTTTTGATTGACGAATCTCGTTATGAATTGAACACTGTCCGTCTTCTGTCCCATAAAAAACTAAGAATAACCCTGCAATTGCCTCAAACTTTTGTGTAAGGTCGATTACCTTATTATTCACAGCTTTTGCTTGCTTTAAGATATTTTTGAAAAGCTACTATTCACATTCCCAGTCTATTTCATTCAGTATTTTAATAAGTTTTTCTTTGGTTTTTTTCTACCAGTTTGTATTCATTTTTATGTTCAAAATATTTACGAACAATTTTCTAATGTGCATCTCCGATATAATAATATTTTGCGACCTCTTCTGTATTATTTATATCGCAGAATGTATAGTTACATAATTTTTTGGTTTCACGATTTTAAATATAATCGACAAACGAAAAAGTTTCAGCGTTTTTACTCCGTTTCTGAATCTGTATAAATTTATATAGGCACATAAAAGATATATTGATATAAGCACATAAAAGATAGTCGATCGATATTTATTATGTGTGAACATATCAAAATATGCTAAATAAATTGATCATTTGCAGAATTTTGATGAAATTAATCACGTGGAATCAGGACGAGAAGGATTTTATGGGGGATCTGTAACATTATCCGATTATTGCCCATATATACAAGAATTTACGTGGAGAAGCAAAAATGTTATTGTGAGAGGTTCACACTGCCAATTTGAAGAAAATAATCCATGTAAGTTATACAAAAAATACAGATGTATTTTTAACAAAGAAATGTATTTATTTATACATTAGTGATTTCCATTTAAATTTTTATTTAGTGCGTGTATGTATGTATGTTTGTAAATAAATGTGTATAAATTGATTTCTACATAACAATTTGACAGAAAATTTCGTTCCGTTTTAAAAAAAAACTTTTTAGTATCTTTCGGAAGCGGTGCACCGATTATAGCGATCTTGCAATTTTTATTACGATTCATTTTTAGCCTCAAAATAGTTTTCAGTGTCGGCGATTACTTCTTTTTTCTGCCGGGCTTTTTTCTTGGGGTCTGCGAACAGGAAATAGTTGTTCCGAGGTATATTTGGAGATTACGGTGGATGGGAAACCAATTCGAAACCCAATTCGATAATTTTTCCCATTGTTCTGAATGCTTTGGATCATAATGCAATGCTTTGATGATACAGCATTTTTTTCTTCAAATGAGACTATTTTTTCGCGATTTTGATCTCAAGACGCTCCAATAACTCGATATAATAGTCGCAGTTGATGGTTTTTCCTTTCTCAAGATAGAATGAATATTATGCCTTATGAATCCCAAAAAAACTGATGCCTCGTTCCACGCGTCTAGTCAATTCGGCTGTCTGTTTATTACACTCCGGAGTGAAGTTATGAAGCCAGATTAAACCCATGATAATATCACAAATTAGTTTGTCATTTCTAATATTTCATTCTTGAATTACTTTTACCTTTACTTTTTATCCCATTTTATTACAACAACCACTAATGGGAGGCGCTGTAGGTGACTTATTCTTTAGTTTATATTCACATATATTCACAACTTATGCTAAACATTTCTTATTTTAAGCTTAATTATATTCCACGGTGCAACCAGTGTTCAAACATGTCCATACTTCGGGCACGATTCACATCACACACTAATTGCATATTAATAATCATATCTAATAGTCTACTTTCGGTTTGGGGACAGCTTCTTATAACGTTATTCTAGTTCACATTATAAAAATAGTTGATTAAACATTTCGCGCACTGTACTGCATTCGTGACAATATTTTAACGCAAAAACTCGGATTAATTTTGCTTAAACAGTCTCAAACTCTGCTCCGAATCGTTAACTAATATTGCCAGTATTGTTAGTAGCGTTTGTAAGATGGTACTAAATGAAAATTATATGGATATAATATTATTATCGGAATACCCTCTCACAGAAACGGAACAAAGTTTTCAGCCAAACTAATATACCATGTTACTTATACATTCATTATATTATTGTATGTATTGTTGACAGCTAGCGATAAAAATTTTGCTTTGGAAAAATATGGTATATATTCCAAATGTTTTGAACATACTGATCAAATGTGGGAGGAAAGGTCCTGCAAGCAAGTTCGACAGTGGCAACATTGGGGCTCTGGATGTTATGAATACATGTGCGAGGATGGACGACTTCACATCATGGTAATATGATCATCTGAGATTACCTGACTCGCATCTAACATATTATTCAGTTACTCATATGTGCATGCTGTTAAAAACATAATTTTTCACAATATGATTGACTTACTGAAGTATAATAACCTGAACTTTTAAATAATAAGGAGTCATTAAATTTGGACATTACTTATATTGGATCATATGTTATTAATCTTTTCGCACCGTTTAAATAAATGCCTATGCACATTCATATCAGTAATTTTGCTAATTATATTATTAAAATAAAACTCAAGTTTTCTTTCTTTATCAACCCATTACTAATTTATTAATATATTTTAATGAAATTACAATATTTTAATTAGGAAAATATTTAAAAGTACAAACATTTATAAAATAATTGACTTAATCAACCGAAATTGAGATTTAAGGTCTGTTGACTCAACGCTTGTTTTGTTGGTTTTTTGGTCTGCTGGTTATCAAGTAGGCAAAATGACGTCGGGTCGATCTCCATTTGTTTCCAGCATGAGAGATTTTCATGTTAGAACGTGCGCTATATTTGTGAATGGATAATGAATCAATAAAGCCCGAATCACGCGTCATTTGTTTTCTGGAATGGCTACATAGCAATGCTTGATTTCTAGAGACCTGTTCACACGACGCTTGTTTTCTGGGCTGGATGGCATGGTAGATTATGCCGCCGATGACGGCGCTAAATTTTATGATAGTTTCACAGTTTCACACGATGCGAAACAAACATATTTAAATAAAACAAACTAAACTAATATTTAAATAAAATAAACTAAAATATACGTACATTACGCTTGCTTGTTTTTAGCGACATTTGTTTTAGCTTGCTAGATTTTTAAATGTGATAAACCACCTGTCAAAATACTGCTTCCTTATTGGTTCGAACGAACGAATCCATCCATACAAATTGCGTATGTTCACAGCCATAAACACACGAGCCTGCTTTGCTGGCTAGCCTGCTGGTTGTTAAGTCGGCAAAATGTTTTGCGCTCGACCAGCAGTCCATGTAATAGTCGATGTAATTCAAATATTATTGGTGATAGTTTTAATTCAATATTATAATGGCAATTGTGATATTTGTAAGAAATGATATTAATATTTCCTCTGTGAAATAAATGTACATAAAATCGTATCCACATGTTGCGAATCCACAGCTTGCAGCATATGACATATGACATTTAATCAATCGGGAGAGTCCACGATTGTCGGCAACTGTCGTTCAGCAAGTGACGTCACAGTTCCTTCTATCTGTCTACACTTTATACAATGGAAGATATATGAGGACTAGCCATCCTGCAGCTTTTATATCTTCTTATATATAAAAATGGATCGCAAAATGTGTTGGTAAGCGCATAACTCAACAACGCCTGGACTAATTTGGCCAATTCTTTTTTTAAAATGTTTGTTGAAGTCCAAGGATGGTTGTTACGGCGATAAAAGAACGAATAATTGCCGGGAAAACCCTAAAAACAGCCCTTTTCTTCTTTAATCGAGTAGGCAACGCAATTTGTAAAAAAACAATGATCTATGTCATGACATTTTGTGTAGTTTTTGAGAATCTTTCTATTAATCAAGCTATATTGGCAGCCAAAAGCATCGATGTAAATTAATTAAATTTCAAAATTCAAGAACAAATTACCGGCGAATCAGTTGATTTGGCAACTAACCAAGACGATCCACCGGAGTTTTTAAACTCGCTGGATTTGCTAGGATTGTCACCTCACAATCTTCAATTAAAGGTTGGATCGGCAATTATAATGTTGCGAAATATCGACCAACTATATTTAAAGGATAGTATAAATCAGAAGATGTTCTCGCACCATGCACTGATTTTTGAATTATGATTTACATTATTAAAATTACTTACTTTTAAATGCTTATAGTGTTTTATTCAATTATTTTTTATTCACACCGAATGATTACCAGGGTGACGGTCCTGTTCAGGATATTTTTTGCAAAGAATAGAAAAAAGGTAGGCACAAAACACCGCCACATTACAATTTTTTTGACAGGACGAAGTCTGTCGGGCCGGCTAGTTCCCTATAAAGATGACGCAATCGTTTTCTAGAATGTTCATTCGAACTTGTTCAGATTAGTTATATGTGAGTCAGAAACAACGCATTCCTTATTTATTCAAGGCGCAGTTTGTGGTTTTGTAGTTAGAAAGCCTTGAAAATGACCATTTGTCTAAACACGTGTTGTTCTTATCTCTAACATACAATGTAAGAGCTATGACTCAACAAGCATACTGCGACGTTCATATTCTGACCGTTATATAGTAATATATAATATTATTTATAATTATTACAAATGGGTGGATACCCCTAACATCATAAGTCTGTGATCCAGCCACAAAAATAACGCACGTTGTAATACCTAAATCTCGCTTGCTGGAAGTAAATGGAGATCGATACGACGTCATTTTGCCTACATGATAACCAGCATGCTAGGCAGCCGACTAAAAAAGCAACGAAACAAGTGTTGTATGAACGCTTTTATTATTCCAATTTTTGATTAATTGATATGATTCAACCGATTTCTTTCAACATGTATTAATAACATATTCGTTTTTTAATAATGACATTGTTTTTTAAACTAGGTGTCCAACTACACATACACTTGCCATTATCCAGGCCAAAAATTGAACATAAAAATACTGAGCAATGGTTGGCTGCACCGCGGAGCGATTATTTGTCCATCTTGCCACGAATTGTGTAATGAATATTTTTCGAAGCAAAATGAGAAGTGCAAGCCCGATGATGAGGCGCCCGCCACCCACCTATATCCACGAGATTGGCTGACTTGTGGTGCATATTCCTTGGGATATAGTGAAACTTACGAATATTTTATTGTAAGTACTTTGACATTATTAATCGGATTTATTTCAAGTTCATAGAAAATATTAATGTGTGATTGCTATTGATAACAAATAGTTATAATGCGAAAATAATAAGTAAAAAATTGTTATAAACATTTTTTGTATATTATTCACATTTAGGAATGAAATGAATATTAAACATTTTCTTAATGTACTTACAATATTGTAAACTGTATGATGTGGATTTATAATTTTTATTATAACTTATATTACTACTTAAGCTTTCGGACTGAATTATATATATGAAAATAAGACATTGTATTTAACTTTTCTAATTAGATAGTTTCTATATAAAGCAATATTACAGAGTACATATATGCAAACATATTGGGAATGCAATATCGATAAAAAAATGAATCCGGTATTTCGGTATTTTTTAACAGCGGTATTAATATTATTTAACAAAATGTAGACAAAATTGAAAGTTTTTGCAAGAATATTAAAACTAAATCTAATATTGATAATTCAGTATCGACTATTGTGTATCTTCTTTTCATCAAAATCAAACTTATGCGGAAGAAAGACCAAAAACTCATCATAAATCTTATAATAATATAATAAATTATATTACCTATATTCGATGTGTTAAATCAGCATCATTTTCAATATTTTGGGGCCAGCGGTGGCGATATCGGTTAGAGCGTGGGCTAGCACCAACTAGTCCCGGATTTGCTGGTTCGATTGTCAAATTTCCGCTTGGGGTTATAGATGACAATATAACTTCAAGTGGAAATCGTCTTTCGTGGACATAGTTGCATCATTCAATCATATGTAAATTATTAGACGAAAGAGCTAATACATAAAAATCCCACACATAGGAGAATGGTGAACCGATGGGTTGCTTCTCATAATAATACCTTGCTTAGATCATAAGTTTTGAACGAAGCAGCTTATAGAACATATAATAGTAAGAGTTCTGATTGCTATTGTAACAATAACAAAATCAATATTTTAAAAAGTTTAAAATAGTAATTTTTTACTAATAGTAATCAAGAAAAATAATAACATATAATATTTTTATTTAAACAATATAATGACCCTATACGATTTATTTTTTAACAATTAAACATGTAGTAATATTTATGATTAATATATTTGAAGGTAGAACACTAATAAAGATTACCCAGTGGTACGCATTGTTTCGTAGATTTTGAGTATTATTTAAAAAATTAAAATTTTAAAAAGCTGTTACATTTTTACACAAGAGGAAATAGTCATAATTATTTATTAGCCTAATTCTATTCATTGTGACTCGATATTAAGTTCATTGAAAAATAATAAAATATTTAACCTAATGATGAGTCGGGATAATATTTTGATACTTGTTTATACTATAAGCGACTTAAAAAGACATATGATTTAAGTGATAATGAAATTTGTTGTAGATTATGAGAAATTGTTCCGATAAACTCAAAGTTATGTGTAAGATGTTTCCCCCAACCCTTATGTTTTAATACAAGAAATGCCGATATTCTTAAGGCACATACCGTCGAAAATTTAACACAGTACACCGGTTTTTCGATATATCGGTATTGCATTTCCTACAAATATATATATATATATATATATATATATATATATATATATATATAGCAATAGTAATGTGAATGTGAGAGCAGAGAATATTAACGCTTTCACTATGAGTTATATTATTGATAATTCTTTTTTTTCTAATTTTTAATTTTTTTGAAGTGTATTTTTCCATTTTAAATACATTTTCATTGATAATAATTGATAAAATTAAAAAAAAAAGTTCTTGTGTCCGGTGATGTGTGCGGCTTGTTGTTCCGTACAGCGTCGTTACTCCTGCGTTAAACACTCTCATAGCGAAAGGGTTAATTTTGTAAAAATGAACACAGTACACTTTGTTTGCACTAACTTAATTAAAATTAAAAACAACTATATTTTTATACAACGGAAATAAGTCTAAATTCACACTGCAATAATATTTATGGGGTAAGCAGAAAAATTCAAGTTCAAAAAGTTCAACAAGCCTAGAAAAATGTGTATTTTTAACATTATTAACCAAGTTGGTGCAAAGAAAATTGCTCTATAATATAATAATTGCATAATATATAGATATAATGAAATAATAAATGGTGCTGCACTAGGGCAGTTCCGTTAAGCTGAGTTAGACCCCAATTTGATTTGGAGAAGAATATAGTGCGATAGATTTTCCATTGCCATTACACACCGCAGTGCCCGAAATCGGCTTATTTTCAATTAGAAACATGTTTTTGATCTATATTTTCAAGTGAAAACGAACATCGCTGCTGCTCGATGAGCTTTGGCTTGACCATGTGCACACTAGTCCGCGCGTTATCCAGTTACGCCATGGAGTATGATGTTTTACCCTACGAAATGACAGACAAAAAGCTCTTCAATAAAAATGTAATATAATATTTTTATCTTGATTCTATAGAAAAGTAGAGTAAGTATGATTTGAGTAAGTTTGCTTAAGGAGGTTGTTCGGTTTTTATTTTTTATTTTTTTCGATTTGGAGATTTTTTGATATTATGAAAGCTAAAAACCTTAGAATTATTTAAAAAAAATCATCTCAATATCTATTTTTTTGACGAAGTTATAAATATATATATATATATATATATGTATATATATATATGTATGATCCTCTGAAACCGTTTTTTTCATCGCTCCGCGAGCTATTGTATGCCAGCTGCTCTCTTTTTCATTATAATACCTCATGCACATGACCTTTTTAATGATGACCATCTTTGAACACCATGGTGTATTTAGTGCATTAAATTAAATGGTGTATTTAGTAGATTATATTAAAAACTTTAAAAATGCGGTGCCACAAATACTTGCATTTTTTTTAATTTGTTCACCACTGCAATACCTAGTCCCCCTACCTCAAACAACTTGATAACATAACGCAAAAAATTTTTGCGAAGCTTTTCGCCCCAATAACAAGGCCTTTTTTAACACTTTTTTTTAAAAAATAGCTGCCATTTTTTCCTTCTTGCTATATTTCTTTTATTTTGGTAAGGGGACTGGATTCAAACTTCTTCTTCAACGTAGTTTCTTTTTTTTGTTTCGGGAGATGCGCAACGGATTTATCTGTGGCACCGCAAAAGAGATCGATTTTGCAAGGCCGACTTTGGGGCCCCCTGGCTAAAAAATAACGGCGAAAAAAAAGAAGATAATTTCGTAATATTCTGTGATTTTGTAATTTTTGTTTAAAAAAAACCGCATGTCTCTATGATAAATACATTTCGAGAAAAAAAAAACAAATACCTTGCATTTTTTGTAAAAAAAAACGAACAACCCACTTAAGTCGTACCACAGCTATATTGTGTCTGATGGTACCGTTAAATAATATTATAATGTTTGAATAAGGCTAATGCCTTATTTTGTTTGTTTGAATAAGGCGAAACTGAGGCTAAATAAGATTTTACGATTAGAAAGGTGCTAATCCTTCTTAAATGAGACAAAGAACTAGTATAAAAATAGGGGTTGCGTTCCAAGAATTAAAAAAAAGATGCTACATATCATGATTTCATATTAAATGTTGACATTTTTATTAATATTTTTAAGGAGTAATTTATATTACATGAATTATGACTTTATCCGTCAATAAGTGCTATCCTTTCTTTGCAAGATATCCTGATCCTCTGAGCAGTTCTGTACTACTTTCGAATCCGTGCATTATTTTTTGAAAAAAAATTGCGAATACTTGCTTTTAACGAAAAATATTTATATAGTTAACATATACAAAGTCATACTCAGTAAAATTTTATGGTCATTTTATTTAAATAATCTTTGTTTGAGATATATGCCTCATCGTACTCGCTCAAATAATAAATATCAGATTAGTTTTATCTTTTGCACAAACTAGTGCAAAGTTTTATTACATTTATTGAGTTATTATATGGCAATTTTATATGGCAAAAAGTGACAAAATGGTAACTCTGTTTTTAAGACGGAGAAAAACGGAGCGTCCGATTTTAATAATTCAATAAACATTTTACTTGTATTGACAAGATGAAGAACTGATTAATTTTTGGGAAGGCATGTATAGCGGTTATAGACTCTCTTCTATAGCGGTTATAGAAAAAAAAAACTTGAGAAATTGTCATTTGAACGAAAAATTGATTCATTTTAAATAAAATATGTTCATTCTAACAATAAGTCCGCTTAATTAGATTTTGTTTATATATATTTCATTCAAACATATATAAACAACGTCGTGTAATCTAATAAGTTTTCACATTTTGTCTATAGGGAACAAATAATGAAAATTCTAGTTTTTATAATATTTATTCATAGACATTTCTTTATTTATTTACTGTCGACGTTTGGGAACTGGATACGTTCCATCTTCAGGATATCTGTATATATATATATATATATATATATATATATATATATATTCAATTAAAAATAGACCATTTCGGGCACTGCGGTGTAAAATGGCAATCGGAACCCTCTCACACTATTCTTCCCTGAATCGAGTTGGAGTTTAACTCCGCTACAGACCTACACACGGGCAGGTACTACCCATTATTTATTTTATGTATATATATATATATATACATTTATAAATAAATTATTTTATATGATTATTCTTTCAATGAAAGGGCCTACTTTCGAACTTTAAAGTGTCTACATTCCTTTAGATTGGTCCAACCATATATTCTTTATTCTAGATGTATTTAAAAGTGATATTTAATTATTTTCTTTACTGAATACTGTATAATAAATACATGTTTTATATCCTGTTTAGGTTATATAGAATTAAGTGTGCATTAAGTTGAATGTTTTACACTATTAACAGATTTTCTTTTGTTGAATAGCATCAATTTAATAAAACGAAGGCCTAAGACCAAATTGTCTAATTAAGATGATTCTGCTTCTACAATCAATATTTATTAGAACCTGTTTAAGGTGATGTAAAACATAAACATTGAGAATGTTTTGTATACTCTGATATGTTATTATTTTGATGCATCGTGTAAAAGAATGATAGCATGTGCATTTTACCATTGAAAGCATCT